AGTTAATACTTAAATATTTTTATTCTATTTTTCTTTTTTTATATCATCAATTTTTGTTGTTTCATTTTGTTTTGTTTAACCAATTTTGCACCTTTATATTTGGTAACGTAAACAACTAATTTGAAGATAACATCATGCAATACAGCAACCACTGTGGAATTCCTATTATTTTCTTTGGTGAAATTTTGTATCATTTCTAATGCCTTTTTTTTTTTTTACTATTTTTTGTTCTTTAAAAAATAACAATAAAAAATAAGTATCAATAAAATTAATAAATAAAATAAAATTTTAAAAACAAAATGCAAAATTATGGAGACAGCAAAATGATCTTGAGGGGCGCTGTCTTGGAACTGTGAAACTCCTCTGTGTGACCTTATAATGACAGGTATATGCACATATCTACTTGTCAAAACTCATGAAAAATACAACACCCAAAAACCCAGTGTAAATATAGACTTTGGGTGATGATAATTGGCCACTATAGTTTCATCATTGATAAGAAATGTACCACTTAGGGCAGGATTTTGATGGTGGGGAGATTACACTTGTTTCGAGTTAGGGAAGATATGAAGGAACTCTGTACGTTTCACTCAATTTTACTGTAAACTTAAAACTACCCCTTAAAAATCTTTTTTTAATTAGTTAATATAAGAAAGAACTGTAAAATACAGTAAGGATGGTGCAGATTTATATGCAGTCTCGGTGAGAGCAATCCTGAGGAGCACAGTGGGGATCCCCAGAGGACTGAATAACCAGAGAGGAGAGACTGCTGAACATGCCCCATGATTTCTCCTGGCCATTGCACTGTGGGGATATGTGGAAAGCACTGCTGCCAGCCTTCATGGAAATACTTATACTAATGGGAAAACATGACCCAAACATAACAGTGCTACTAGGAATGTTTTTTGACTCAGTTGAGTTGTCCTTGTAAGACACTGGTGCCATAGATTCTTCTAGTGGCTTTAATTCAGAATAGTCTTGTACAAGGAGAGCACTAGAAGTAGACCCTCAGATAAAAATCCTACTTTGCTACCTACTGGCTGTGTGGTTGTCCCTGGAAAGTGATTTAAGTTCTTTGGGCTCTCACTATCTTGCCTACAAAATAAATAACATAGTTTGTGGGACTGTATTAAGTGATATAATTTATGTAAAACACCTAGCATAGTGTCTGGCATTTAGTAAACTTTCACTCAAACTCTGTGACTCTTTACATTGCCATTACTAAGAGTATAAATAACCACGTTTAATGCACTCGTAAGTCCTTACAAAATTTTATGTTTAATGAAATGTCAATAATCACAGCACTTCAGAGGGGTCAGGGAGATGGCTTCAGTAGAATAACTGCTTGCCTGGCAAGCACAAGGGCCTGAGTTCAACCCCCGGTTCCACCAATAATAATAATAATAATAATAATAATAATAATAATAATAACAACAACAACAACAGCACTTCAAATGATTCTTGGTAATACCAGTGTTAACACAGCAAGCAGATCCATCATGTTTTTAAGGGCAGTGGTAGCCAGGAGTGAGCCATATCCTGTTCTAACAAGATACCACTGTATTTAAGTATGATGTTTCTCCTCTGACTCTTATCTACACCTATAAGTTTCATAAGTCAGATGACATAAAATCCCAGCTATTAAAATTTGTATTGACATAGAAAGGGCACTTTATAAACAGTATTTTTTAAAAACAGTACGTTTGTAGTAACTTTGAAAGAAAATCCTCATGTAAATTATAGTATGTCATTCTGCTCTATGTATTAAATCCAAAAAATCATTTAACAAATGCTCAACATATCTATTTCCAACTCAACCAGAACTCAGACCCAAGCAATAAGCTAACTTTTGTATGTCTGCATCACTATATGTCTACTGGTAACTACAGAAAGAGGATGAGAGAAATGATAGGTAGGAAGATAAATTTACTAGTAGATAATATTTTAATTTTTAAAATTATTGTACAAATTATGGTATCATTTAATTTTGTTAGAAGCCAGAACAAGTATAGTTCAGCAGTAAGAATCTATTATGGTTCTTCTTTTAAAAATATTTAATAAAATTATATGCCAAATAACAGTAGTATGTTATTTAGTAATTCTTTGTCTCTGAGAGTTCATATTCACAACTCATTAATTTTATTTTTTTCAACGTGCTTTGATAAGACCTGATACTCAGAGAGAAGTCAGAAGTTGCTTATGTTTCCTATGCAACGTCTTCTACTTGCATTCTTTGCCAAGTCTTGCTCAGACTGATATTAAAATAAAGCTTGTTTTTTATGGATGCACATCAAGGACTGGAGTGCAGAAGACGCCTAATCACATACTGGGATGTGGAAGAAAGCCAGCATGAGACTGTAAAAATGCTGGCAGTTAGCGTTCAAGTGAATTGCTCGGCCCAACACACAATCAGGAGTTGAATGTTTCCCTGTTACTATCTCCACAGAGACGGAAACTGACGCAAGGAAGGAGTCTGAGCAGTCAACTCCTCAGCTAGCCAACTCTACACTGTGAGTCATTCCAGGACAGGGCCCTCATTCTCCACTTGTGTCTCTAGCACCTGGCACTTGCTAAATACTAAAGAATGTTAAATGGATGGATCAATGAATTAATTAATTGATGAGTGAACACATTTCTCCACATTCTTACTTTAGAACTCCAGCCTCTAAATAGAGTACTGAGGAATAGGATGTGGATCTGGAGGTTGTTATGCAAAGGCAAAGAGCCAAGCAGTGTTTATTAGGAAAATTTATAGACAGTGGAGTAGTAGTAGGTGTAAGGGTCCCTGTTGTCCGTGGTATACTCTAGGCTATGGTTGTGCATAAAATTCTAGCAGCTCTGGAAATCAGACTCTATGAGAGGCTCCTGTTCCTTGGACTGTGAGGCATTTAAACTTTCTGATTAAGGAAGCATCAGCCCTACCCCAGGTGTGATCAGAGACCAAGACAAAACAGCATCACAGTGAGGCTGAACCTTGGCTCCAGCCCTGTCCTGGCCTCTCTTCAATCACAACTGAGGAGAGAACTAGCCTCTTTCCTGCCTACAAGATAGGGTCCAAGTTTTATGGCTCCAACTACATGGTATGGTAAGCAGTGTCACCATTCAGCACATCCATGTGCATGTTTGGAAACCAACAATGCCTCCTGTGGAAGGATCTGAGAACAGAGGCTGATGTCCAAGCCTAGCCAACAACCAAATTGTTTGTCCTAAGCACAAATTTTGAGCTAGGCTATACCATTTTCCATGGAGTTTTGCTGAGGGTCAACTCTTTTTTTGTGAGACCAGCCTACAGTAGGTCCCTGTTAAAAATGTTAACTCTGACCCCTTTGTGGTGATGTGGTGGGCACAAATTGAGTCATTATGAGTAGCCCTTCTCTCCAGGAGCTGCTTGTAGAAAGGCTAGGCTGCATGCCTCCATTTCATGATTTGTCCTCCTTAAGGTACCTGTAACATTCTACTTCCATATTTCTCTCTATCCATTCTCAAACCAGTCACCCTGCCCAGACCTCTCAAACTGCCCCAGGCCTCATATTCTTATATGCTGTGACTGCCCCACTATAGGTCAATCACCTAATATACAAATCCTTGATCTATGTTAGCTGTCCTAGATTCTAAAATTTTCATATAAATTTTATGCACAGAGTAGACCTATGGAGGAAGCACTTTGGCTCTGAATATGGATAGGTGCTTCTTTTTTCTTTTTTCCTTATTTTTTTCCTGCAGATAACAGGACTCAAACTCAGTACCTTGTACTTGCCAGGCAGGTGCTTGTGCCTCTGAGCTATACCCCCAGCCCAGATAGGTACTTTTTTAGTACTGCCCTAATCATACCACATCGACATTTTCAAAATGTCTGCCTTGACTTCAAAAAGTCTGCCTTTGAATCCAGTAAAAAGGGAAGACTATTTTGATTCTTGTCTCATTTGGCTTTTGAAAGATACTAGTTTTTATTTTGGTTTAGGTTCAGAATGGGTTAGTGAGACCAAAAAATCAGGTGAGAGTTAAAAATTGGGAAAGAAAAAAGAAACCATGGATAAAGATGGGAGAGAACAAGTGAGAGAGAAAATGCAGATAGACGAGAAAGGGGCAGAAAACCTGATTGTAAAAAAGGAAGCAAAACTGGTTTCTTGTTTTTTTCACAAGCTGGCCTTGCCCTCATATTTTATTAGGACACTAGTAATGTCTTGGTTGTGCTTGGAGGGGTGGGTAGGGAACCGGGGACTGAACTCAGGCCCTTGCACTGGCCAGGGAAGCACTTATCCTACTGAGCCATCTCCCAGGCCCTTGGTTGTGCTTAGGTTTCCACAGTCCCTGGCATGGTGGTCCAAAAGATGTTTGCTGAGTGACCTGAACAAGAAAACTATGGTGGTATGTGATAATGATCTGAGTGAAATGTGTCACTGACACTAGCCCAGTCCTTATTGTACGTCATCTGGTTAGCCTCACTTTGTAAGCAAATGACATACAGAATAAATGAAAATAGTTCAGCCTAGTGGCAATGTCCATGAGGAGAGTGCCTCTCTGGGTGGGGATATTTTCCCTCAATATCTAGATTCTGTTTCTGTGTCATAGCAGAGAAGCTGGAAGCCTAAGCAAACAAAGTGAATTACATTAGCTGCATAGACTAATAGCAAGTTGAAGACAGAACCAAGTATTTTTCGACTCTCAAGGGTAGAAGTGTGAGAAGAAACTAAACTTTATAGGATGTTCTGTCCCAGTGAAGATACAAATTAAATACAAAGATTAAGATGAATTAATAACATATAAAATATAAGGAAAGTAAAAATAAATTGCAGAATACTTGAAGTTGAAATAGGATCATGACAATGGATCCTTAATCTGTTTGCTATTAGGGTGGAGAACAAGATCACATTCTGCTCTTCTGGAATTCAGACACATTTTCTGGTATTTAAAGAAACACAAGAAAAGCTCACACAGGCTAAGCTGGGTCTACTTGTAATGCAAATACCTTGCCAATGGGGGAAAAAAATTACTAAAAGATGGTGAATTTGTCTTCTGACAATATTTCCCAGACATTTTTTCAGTGTTAACAAAGTTCTCTTGGAGTGTAACTAAGTGTTTCTGAGGAGTGGTAACTTTAAAGCAAAGGGAAGGAAAATTTCAATAAGGACCAAACTGCCCCAGCTCTTCCTTTATTTTTAAACAGAACCATCAAAGGGCAGCTAACGGAAATCTACTTAAGTGGCATTAATTCATCCCTAAGAGGAATCTCCAAGAGTTTTATTGCTACATAAGGGAAACCCATAAACCAGCAGGAGTAGAAAGCAAAGAAAATAAGTCTGGGGAATCGTCTTGTGTAAGAAAGTGAGCAGGTGGTCAATAATGTATTCTTGGCTGGTTTCCAGAGCTGGGAAACAGAAATTCATGGCAAAGATGTGTCCCCAAAAACAGACAAACACAGGGTAAAGAATCATGGAACTTTACAAAGAGTTGTTGAGGGTTTGCATTAATATGAAACAATAAAATGTTTGTCTCTCTTCCTCCTCAGCATGCATCCAATTTCATGTTAAGACATGACTCCACAGTTTGTCATCTGTATAGTCTTTCAAATCCATGGCATGATTAAAAGACAACAAAAAGGACTGGAATGGTAACATTAAGGATCATTTAGTCCAACATTCTTGGTTCTACAAATAAGAAAAAGCATCAGAGTTTCTGGTAAAGGGAGAGAAATTTAGGCATTGTCATTTGAAATCTGAAGTTTTTAACTGAATATTAGACTGTAAACCTAGAAACATGCCTTAGTGAGGCATGATACTGAGCCATGCTATGCTACAAAAACCCTAAAATGAATGAAATTATCTCCAATCTCAAAATTATTTTACCATCAACCACTCTTTAATTGATTTTTACATAATTTATAAAATCAAAAATAACACTTCTCACTTATTCCTAAGGAATAATGGCTACTATGTGAGACTTTGTATTCTTATCAACGGGCAACAGACACCAGGACACAAAATTGGGAGACAGATAGTGGAAATAGTGGGTCGAGGGAAGAGTAACACTCAGTGTTCCACAGCTAGTATGTCTCAACTCTCACCCACTTGAAATCTTACTTTCAGATTTGAGAAAGGCTTGGGAATGGGATGAAAACTATGCCATTTATATATTCACCTAACAAGCAATTACTAAGCCTACTTTGTGCAGTTATCAACTAAGAGCAAAAAGAATTCCCAAGGATAAAATTCTGATCTTATTCCTCTAGATACTTACATAAGGTCTTACATAAGGTCATACTTACATGAGTGATCTCTTACATAAGGTCTATCCTTCATATGGTTCCTAGAAATTCTGAATAACAACATCCTGTTTCAAAAACATTAGAGATGTGCTTCAACTTGGGAAAATTAATCTTTATTTTAAAATTAATGCTCATGGCTAATTGTGGTTGGGATTTATTTGGTATTTTGGATTTAGAGTTACTACTTTGCACTAACTATGAAAGAACTGCATATTGAATTGAGTCTTTTTTCAGGCAAAAAAAAAAAAAATCTCAATATAGTCTGGGCATCATGGCACATGCCTGAGATTCCAGTACTCAAGAGGCTGAGGCAGGAGGAATGCTGCAAGTCTGAGGCCAGTCTAGGCTACATAGTGAGTTCAACACTAGTCTGAACTATATAGATTCAGTAAATAAATAAATACACAATATAGTTTTGAATTAAGTAGAGGTCTATGAGTAGAAAATGAATCTTTCAAATACAACTCTTCAAATGTGGTAAACAATAAATTATTTTTTCACTATAACACCTTCATTATTACTCAAGTACCCCAAAAGAGCACAAAAGATCAAATTTCTAAGAAAACTGTAAACTCATTAGTGTGCTGACCTATTATTATTTTCAGATTTTACTTCTTTCATTACTAAAATACAGCCTGAATTCTGCAGTCACTTTCACAAGGTGAGTGTGCTGCTCTCACCTCATAGAAATGCCTTCTGTTCTCCACATTTCAATACTAAAGCTCTTTGCAGTTGGTACAAGGAACACTTCAAAGTGGCATTCTCTGAGAGAAGCGAAGCTGGAGTGAGATCCAGGTTTGAACGAGTGTTTGCATGCAGTAAGCAGGTGGAGCAGCAGCCACAGTGTGCGTAGCTACTTACTAGAAGATGCATTGCATTGCTTTTCTTTAGAATCTCAGCCAAAGAGGCAACTGGTCAGCTTAACTTTCATATCAGGTATGGAGCAGATTGAAAACAAAAATCATTACCTTTCAACTTTCTCAAAGTAAGACTGCAAGAAAGCAAAGTATCATAGATACTGCTTAAGATCCCCTCTCCCAGGCTGGTGAGATAGCTCAGTGGACTAAGCACTGCTTAGGCAAGTGCAGGGACCAGGGTTCTATTGCTGGCACCACATACTGTACCAGCCAGCCTTCCTGGGCACATTGAGCTGGTCACCAAGAACGGGTATGGTGGCACACGTCTGTAATCCTAGAGCTGGGAAGGATGAAAACAGAAGAATCACTATGAGTCCAAGTTGCATAG